ACGTTCCTTGTCGAATAAATATGGCACTTGGCAATATGATAAAAAAATTCAATTATATGGGACGGAAAGCTCTGGCAATCAGGGGCAAAGTATTGCCAAACTGACCAAAAGCTGCTTCGTGCCACGCGGAAATAAAGAAAAACATTCTTTAGTATTCCAGAAACTTAGTCAAATTAATTATTTGAAATGAACAGAAGAAATAAAGAGAAGTAACAGCAACTTCAGTTGGTTCTCCGAAAACTAAACCATATTCAAGCTAAAGGATTTATAGATTATAATTCATATTTATCAGCTTTGTGCTGGCGCCCCGTTCTCCATTTTTAGAAAATCTTCAAAAAACAAGCATACTTGAACAAACAATAAAGATCTACTCCGAATTGAAAACTACATTTACCACTTATTGGAACCAATCCATCCTGTATATGCCGTCTATGAACAAAGTACTTGCGGTACTCGTGTTTTAACTCCTTTTATTTTAGAAAGCTCTTTCAAGTATTGAATGCTGATCTGTAAAAAGTTTGCCATATTTGGAACTATTAGATAAATGTGCGAATAGAATAACTATACAGTATTCCTAATCAAAATAAATTATAAAATTTATGCGACAGTAACTTAAAAAATTATTTTAAAAATAAACAACAAATAATATGTATATTTTTACAGTAAGCAAACTGTTAATAGACGAACAAGAGAACTAAGTAACTAAACAAATAAACTTTAGACTCTTCTCATAATCAAAAACTTAAAAGAAAAATGTATTTGATTGTTCAGCATGCAAATATTTATAATTGAGTTTATGATTTTATATCTTGTTTAAGCTACAACACGTTGAAGTAAAATCCGGAATGGCTCCATAAAATGGCATTAAAACTACCGTTAAAAGAACATGTTATAGAAAGCAGGCAGGCAATATTAGATAGATATGCTTTAAAAGAGAACAAGGGACAAACGACATCAGTTTCGGGTTATTACCCATAAAGATGCATGATCTATCTATTCGTGCAGCACCTATATTTTACGGATAATATAAACGGAATTAAGTGAAGCGAAAATTTTGAAACAAAATGAGAACCGCTTTATGCCCAAACATAAAATCTTGGCCTTAGAGAAGCCGGGGGCGAGAAAATGATTTATACTAACGTAAACTTTTACATAACATCCATAAAGAAATGTCATATAAATAACGTTCTAATCTTATATCCCTTACAAGAGCATAAATTATTTCGGGTTTATTACAATTTTCAATATGCGCGGAATAGAGAAGTTCAGAACGGCGATTTATGGTGGGGACAGGAACAGGGTTAAGCATAATGTATGTCGGCGACTTGGCAAGCATGAAATTAGAAAACGGCAAATGAATAACGGAAATCCACAACAAAGACGGCCCGTTTAGTTTTAGCTACCAATTTTATGCCAGCAGATTAGGATATGGCAGGTAAAAAAGAGCTGTTATAGGAAGACTTGATTTTTATGAAGTGTTTCAATGGGCCGTGA